GCTAAATTTTTAGCAGTCATTATATTAGAAGTGCACTTTTGATCATTTTAACACACCCTTGCTGAATAAAAGTATCAATTTCTTAATATGAATGAATGAATGAATGAATGAATGATCATTTTACAGCCCCTGAACTTTTGAACAGTAGTGTACATGAGTAACTGGCTAGTCAAAAAGTAAAGGCTTGCTTATAACAAAGTAGAAGCTTCATGTACGTGTCAACATGTTTAAAGTTATAGAATAGTATTACAAAAAAATAAATAATACTAAAAACCCATATTTGTCAGTGAATCTGCATCACTTACACAACCTATGCACAAAATCTTTAGTTAGCTTGCAGTCGAGCTTGGACTATTTAAATATGTTGACCACTGATATAATTTGAATGTTGCTTGATATTACTGATGAACTACAAATTTTTTTTCTCTTCCATATCAAAAAAAAATGAAGATTGTGCAACTACTGTTCATGATTGTGAAAAGCTAAAAAAACTGAATCCAACGCAAGGGAAGACCTCGTACGGATGTAAATGCATCCACAAATATATGAAGCTGTTCTGTAGGGAGTGAAGACTAATCAGTCCACACTAATGGCGCTTTTCCACTGCGTGGTACGACTCGGCTCAGCACGGCACGGTTCGGCTCGGCACAGTTTGCGTTTCCACTGCAGTTCAGTACCGCTTTAGATTGGGCGGGATTATTCACATGTCATTATAGTTGCGCCGCCTCTACTACCACGACTCCTAAAAAAATCGTTTTCATTCCGCGTCGCCCCATCAAGCTCTCGCTGGATCCGCTCCTCTGCTATCAACGAGAGACAACAAAACTTTTTGGTTGTTAAAAAAAGGTGCGCTCGTTCCAAACAGTTGCGTTCGATCCTTCGCTGGCTGTGCTGATTTAAATCTAGCGGTTCTTTTGTGTTTGTGTCGCAAGTTCAGTGACGATTCTCTGATCAGCAGAGTTTACACGTCACGTTTTGGTAACGGTACGGTTCACTTGGAACCCCAACCGAGGTGGTACTAAAAAAAGTACCAGGTACCAGGTACTGTACCTAGTGGAAAACCCCCAAAAAGTGAACCGTACCGAGCCGTACCGTGCCGTACCATGCAGTGGAAAAAGCGCCATAAGTTGCCTTTCATTTGTCTATGAACCCTCAAGCATCCTAAGCCAAAATTCCATTGAGACGCTTCAGGCGGCTTCATTTCCTCTCTTCTCCTTTTCTCTCTCCCTCTCATCTCCTCACTATTGTGTTCTGTCATTTATCTATTTTATGGGATTATCGAGGCGCTTCTCCCCTGCCCGCAATTCATTACGCTCCTAACTGCTCACTTAGGTTTATGCCCCTTTAAATCCCCCAACAGAGAACCAACCAGCCTCGGTAAACAGATAGAGAGGGAGGGAGAGAGAGAGACATGTGGTGGGCACTCATCAGAGAAGGAATTAAGAGATGTCACGCGGCGGTGGCCATGGCAGTGAGGAGAGGCAGTTAGTTGTGGTTTTTAACGCGGCTGCCCTCTTTCTCCTCATTACTAATTCAATTTGCTCTTTATTAGCCACTCTTATCTCCTGCACAGAGTCCCTCTGGCTAACCCCTCCATCACCCGCCCTGTCTTTCCCGCTCGCCCCCTCTCTCTTCACATCCAACCCAAAGAAGCATCACCTGGCTGGAACAAGACAAAACTTCCTATTACATGACCTTGGTAAGAAGAGACACAGGTAATTTACAGGTATGCAAAAGGAACAAAGTTTTATGGTAATACTGCTACTCTAATGTGTGCAGAAACAGAGCGCAAGCGATTACAGTGAGATTGTGGATGGGGCGGAGGGGGTGGAACTGGCTGTAAAAACAGTGATTGCTTTCCATCAGGTTGGGCTTATATTCTCCAGTTCGTTAAAACAATCCAATTTGCAAAGGGATAATTACGCATTAGCTCCTTTTTATCTACTGAGCGAGAGCGCTGGCAGGGTTTGATAGTGTAGCCGTATTCGGCGTGCCACTGCTGCAAATTACCCGCTATCGGCACATGTACACCATCACGGCCCGATTGGGCAATTAATTAACTCCTCCTATCCCCAGCGGATACGGGCCATCACACCCAAACCTACTCCCTCTTAAACCAATCAGGCTGCTGGGAACATGCTGCCCTCTATTGGGGGTGTACAGTCACAGCCAACAGACTTAATTCATGATCTTTCATAATTAGGAAATGTCAGACGAAGAAATACCTTTGTAGGAAGTAAACAAGGTAAAATGTGTTCAACTGTACTAAAGTCTATTAAAAGACATAAGCTATCAGAAGCAGAGAAGCTGTGAATTTTGCAGCAATATTATCACATAATATTCTCAGGGGCGGACTTACCCATTAGGCAAAGGTAGGCGACCGCCTTGGGCCCCCAAAAGCCAAGGGCCCCCTAAAATGCTTTTCATATAGGATATGCGCATTAAGCGCGGACACGCGAACGTTTGCTGTTTACGGTGTTTATTACCACGACAACCGTCCGAGTCAGTGGCGCCTGCAGGTGTACGGCACTGTGCGTGCCATGAGCGCTTTTAATAGCTGAAACAGTAGTATAAGCTTTTTTTGGGAAAAGGGGAAAAAAGACGGGCTGTGGACTATATTTGAGACCCATGCAGGGTTTTAATCCACTTCATCCAACGCTATTTTGTTCTCATCTGTGAGCATGCTCTTGATATATGTATTTTAGGTGTGTAAATGTATAATTGCCTTTTCATTATTTTTTCAGTTTTATTTAAATTTGTAGTTAAAACAACTAAAAATAAATGTATTTTAAAGTTTAGAATTAGACAGCCTTTGCACACAGGCTTATGCTGAAAACAACAAAATGGAACCTCAAGGTTGATCTAGGAAAATGTGTGCAAATGTATAGGGCCCCATTCCTATATTTTGCCTGGGGCCCCCAATTCACTAAATCCGCCCCTGAATATTCTCACAATATTCCATGCAGGCCTAGTGATGGCTGATAATGGAATGGCTCTCATGGCACAGTACCATTATGGATCAGATTATAAAATCCAATAGACCTGAGTCAGGGTATCGCAATGTTTAATTTTTGACGGGAATAAAAATGAGGCTGTGAGAGACAGAAGTACAGGGTGTACAATGGGTTGTACTGTTGTTTAACAACATACCAATTGTTCAACTAATAAAATGTTGTTCCAAAAAAAGCATCATAACTTTACGACTGACACACTACGACTGAGAATCACACACTACCAGACTTTCACGTTGTTTCAAACACAACAAGCTCACACAGAAATGTGTGCTTTGTTGATAGAATACGCATGAAAAATGAAAACAACTTGTGTTCTAAAGCTAAAAAAAAAATCTAACATATTTGATATTCCGCCAACTGCACAGAATCTATGGAAGCCCGTTTCCACCACTGAATTAAAAAAAGAAAAAAAGAAAAGGTAATTGAGACTTTTTATTTCATAACTCTGACTATTTTCTTGCAATTGAGAGTTTACATCTCACAATTCTGACTTTTTTTCTCAGAATTGTGAGGTATAAACTCACAATTGCGATTAATAAAGTCAGAATTGCAATATACTGTATAAACTCTAGTTTGTATCTCGCAATTCTGACTTTATATCTAGCAATTGTGAGTTTACATCACACAATTCTGAGAAAAAGTAAAAATTACGAGTTTATATCTCACAGCATTGTGAGATATAAACTCACAATTGTGAGTCATGAAGTCCAATTCTGAGGAGGGAAAAAAAATGCTTTTTTTTCAGAATTAGGTGTTTATACCTCACAAATCTGACTTAGTAACTTGCAATTGCTATAAACATCGCATTTCTGAGAAAACGTCACAATTGCGAGATATGAAAACAACTGTGAGAATTATGACAAAGTCGCACTTACCTTTTTTATTTTTTTATTCAGTGGCAGAAAAAGGGCTTCCATAAGAATCATGGTCTAAAACTAAAAAAAAAAAAAAAAAAAAATTGTCAATGTAGTGTGTATATAGATATAGGTAGTATAATCATCTCTATTAAAAAATATATATTTTATTATTTTTTAAATTTTATCCAATGACAAATGTTTTTGTTCAAATTGTATACAAAAGTGAATTCGTCATGTGGTGTTGAGATGATGGCCAATGACCAAATAGTTTGAGGTAGAAATGTGGTTATCAGGATCTCTAGGGTGAAAAATGAGATTTCAGAGGCAAAGCCTCTGGAGGAAGTCTGAGGAGAGCTTACAGATATTACACCACTGACTTAGGTGACAAAGATCTCAACGCATCTGCTGAGCTGCCGGAACTGTCTGTGCCCATCATGCACTATGCAATTTTTTGTGAAATCTGTCAACTCTGACTGCACAAAATCTGCAGACTGGACAAATCCAGACTGAAAAACAAGCCAAATATCTGGGCAAAATTTCTGTAGTGTATTCCAGCCTTAAAGTGTATAAGAAATAAGAATAATTAAGATGCAAAAATAATAAAAGGTTAAACAAATTATTGCAATGTGCACACTTATCAATATCAAGACCAAAATGTGGGCCTCAAAATGGTATATTAAACTATTTAAAATTACATATCAGAACATGTAAAAACATATGAATAGAATTTTTTTAAATTAAATTCCAGGGTTGGGCTGCGACATGAGGGCACTCCACGTACCACTGATCTAGTCAGCACAGCCAAGTCTCTGAGACTGACAGGAAGATTTCCATGATTTCATCTACAGTAAGACTTTATTTTCAGGACAGTACCCAGTGTACTGTTCATCTCTGCTGCAGTTTTGTGTTTCCATGGGAACATAAAGCCCACCTCAACCTCTCTCCGAGGAATACAAACAAAGCAGCGATAATTAATTTTCCAGAGACCGTTTTGTGTTGATTACTAATTAAACCAATTAGTCACAGCGGGGGTAAAAACAATCAGTTCATTTAAAAAGGCAGAGGTAGAGTTGCATTGTGTTTTGAGAGTTGCAAAGCATTTTGTGAATGTGCAGTCATAGTAACTGACCTGATCTTGAGGTCCCGAGTGAGGTGGAGGTGAGAGAGAGACGGCGGAGCTTGTGTCTGCCAAATGAAACCAGCACTTTGGGCTGTGCTCGCCTGGTATTGGTTGGACTCTTCACCGGAGTGTGTGTCCGTCTCCGCAAAGAATACCGGCTACTTAAAGTCTGCACAATGGGGCTGTATCTTCTCTCTAAGGAGGGACTGTATATAGACATATATAAAACATACACGAAATGCTGTAAGAATTTCTGAAAAAAAAAAAAAGTTTTTTGAAATGTTAGCATGTTACAGAAGTCAATAAAAAGTACATGTTTGCTTTGTTTGATTGACGTGCAAAGGAAATTTAAGGAAATTTGTGCTGCCATCTAGAGGAGAGTTTAAGAACAATATTGCCACAACCTATGAACACTTGCAACTAGCAATCATTCTACACTTTAAAAAGGTCATATAATACACTGGGTTTCTACAGTTTGTGATGAAACATGTTCCAGGAAATTTCCATGTTTTAGCTTTTTTGTGTTGTCAATTTTAGAATTGTCTATGTCAGCTTTATCACATAATTTGATATTTGACACAAATACACATTTTTTAAACTTACTTGTGTTTAATAATTCCACTAATAAAACATCATGCATTTCAGGCAAGTAGTGTTATTCGTTATCAGTCCTTTTTTAACAGGACAGATAACTACTCCTGCAAGAGGAAAAATATATCTGTCTATTTTATATAAAATAGTATAAAAATGTTATATCAATTTATCAGATTTTGGCCATAGCATGATTGAGTCGGCCAGAATTTTAATACCGGTGCATCTCTAAAATTAATTCTGCCTTCTCACATCCCCTTGCATAATGGTATATACATCACAATCTTAAAGCAGAACTCTCACCCGCTAGCAGATCTTCTGATGATCTTAGTTCGACTCCTGAGCTTGAAAGCACCAGCTGACAGTGGGGTGGTAGTAGGGTTCATGTAGGTGGGGTTTGAGGACAGAGCAAATACCTTTTCCCCCTTTTGACCATTCTTGTTAGCTGTCCATTGATAGACCGTGCCCTTATGGGTAGTCCTAGAAATTGAGCTAGATGCATTTGCTGTTGCGCTTTGTCCAGCCGCTTTCCAGCGATAGCGGCTGGCATGGTCAGCATGGGATGTGGAGGCACCTGTAGCTTTAGACTTTTTTGATAAAGTTGTTAAGGTTGTGGCACATCTCTTTTCTTTCATTGGTACCTCCAGTCCACCTTGAGATGTTCTTACAGGGACTTTAAGAGATTTGGGTGAAAGGGGCTTGCGTGGCGTTTTCGTTAAAGCGTTTGTTTTCCCAGCTGTTGACGAGGAGCAAGAGGAAGACACCCAGGTGTACTTTGAGGTCTTAGGAGCTCCGAGGGAAAGATTAGGCTTGCGAGACACCTTCTTATTGGAGCTGGAGACTCGTTTGACAGTAGCTGTCCCAGGAGAGGATCCAGAGGTCACTGGCTTAGGTGTGCTTTTTATGTTTACCATCTCTTGGTTTTTCACCCAAGTAAACCGAGATTTCTTATGACATGGCGAGGCTACACATGTCTGCGTTGAGTCTAGCTTAAGCTGAAGCTTTGTGGGACTTAAGGAAGCCTGAGACTGAAGGTTAGAGGTGGCAGAAGAAGCCATAGTACAATCTCTATTGGCTGTTGGCATTACAACAGTGCTATTGGATAAGGCAGCAGTGGAAAGGTGTGGTTTGACTTGAACAGGAGCTGAAGGTTTGACAGATGAAGGGATAGAAGGATTGTTCACAGCTGAGGATGATTTCAAAGTGTGTTTTATCTTCATTTCAGGGTCAGATGTTGAAGCAGAGTCAGTTAGTGTACTGGTAGATGAGCAGCCATGATCGTTTTTTCCTGTTGAAGGTATAAGCACAGTCCTTTTTTCACTTGCTTCACTTTTGCTCTCCTTTGAAGTCTCACTTTGGACATTAAGTGAAGATGTTGTAGATTTATCTGTGATTTGTTCAGCTTTCAACTTTTTAAATAAAACACTGTTGTTTCCAAAAGGTCCAGCACTATTCCCAGTAGCAGCATCACCAGATGTAGTGATGTGATGGTGAGGCTGGTTCAGGTGGTCCACAGCTGGATGAGACACATGGCACCCAACTGTCCTGTTGCTCTTGTTGTTAAGTGAGTACGTTTTCCTCCAGCTGCCAGAAGAATGAGGCGCATACGGTTCTGGCAGTGATGAATATGATTGTGTGTAGTATGAGGCATGACCCCGACTCTGGCCCCGGCCCCTCCTTGAGCCATGTCTGGCACGACCCCACTGCGTAGAACTTGAGGGAACATCACCATGAGTACTTTTATAGTCATTAATGAGGTCTGCAAAGTAAAGATTAAGCGTGTAAGGTTAAGGTGAGACTAATCTGAACTGACCTGATTATTTAAAAATGAGTGAAATTGGCTTCAGTAAATGCAAGGTCTGTAACAGAGGTGTGGCCATCTCTTTTCACTACACTCGATTCCAGAAGACAGAAAAAAAAATATATATTATTATTTTTTAAAAATTAATAATAAGCTGAGGAACCTTGGGAACAGAGAGTCTGATTAAATGTTAAACCTTAGACAGAATATATCGACAAGAATGTCAGAAAATTAAATAAAGTGAAAAATATAAAGTTAAAAAAATAATAATTTTAAAATCTTTTGAATTTTAAATAAGTGAAACAAATATAAATCTGAATAATTAGAATATAGTTATTAAAGTTATTAAAGAACAAGATGGCGCCGCAAATGGCAGCCACAACGCTGAGCTCCGAAATTATTCTTTGGTTTTTGTTTGTTTGTTCTGTGTTTTGTAATTTTTCTTCTATAAGTTTTACCAGAGACAAACTCCTTAACATTAAGCAATACATCCCAGACAATATTTTTCCGGTTTTTGATTATTCGGACGTTTTGTTGGACATTCTAGTCTTAGGTACAGCTGTGTTGTTCAAACGCGCGTACAGACGCAGAAGAGGGAATCGCGCCGGCACCCTGGTTAAGCTCCGCACGAGTGGCTTTTGAACTGCGCCCCCAAGCATTCATCTCGCGAATGTCCATTCCCTTCTTAACAAAACGGATGAACGTCTTCTCCTTACCTGCACCAACAAGGACTTTTCAAACTCTGTTGCACTGTGCTTCACTGAAACCTGGCTGAGTGAAGCCATTCCGGATAATGCGCTTCATCTGCCGGGCTACCAGCTGTTCAAAGCGGATCGCATCGCAGATTTAAAAGGGAAAACGAGAGGTGGTGGATTGTGTTTCTACTAGGGATGTGCGCGACGACTAATTTGACTGACGTTTAAACGAAAGTTTTGTATCCGACTAGTCGACTAGTCTAAAAGCAAGAAACCCCCAAAAGATGGTAAGAAAAAAAAAGATGTAACAACGCTGAAAAAGGTATGCTATCCTAACTTAGAGGCACTCTTCATAAACTGTAAACCTTTCTACTTGCCGCGGGAGTTCTCCTCTTTCATTCTGGTGAATGTGTACGTTCCTCCGGACACGTGCGTGAGCGCCGCGATGAAACAGCTGGCCGAACAAATAACTGAAATGGAGCAAAGGTACCCAGACTCTATTTTAATCATTCTTGGAGATTTTAACAAATCAAATCTCTCCCGTGAACTGCCAAAATACAAGCAACACATCACGTGTCCCACCAGAGACAGCAATATATTGGATCACTGTTACACAGCAATAAAGGATGCATATCGCTCTGTCTAATTATAATAAACAGCTCCAGTAATATCATTACTTCAGAGTTATGTGCCTCTAGAAGCTTGCGTTCTGCAAGTGAACGGCGTATTATTGTGCCATCTCAAAGAGGCACAAAATCACTTTCACTGACTTTTTCATTAACTGTTCCCTCCTGGTGGAATGACCTGCCCAACTCAATCCGAGCAGCTGAGTCCTTAACCATCTTCAAGAAACGACTAAAAACACACATGTTCCACCTTTATTTGACCCTCTAACTCTAGCACTTTCTATTCTATTTTAATTCTACTTTATCTATATTAAATTATAATTATCAGATAAATGAACAGAGGCATTCAAAATGCTCATATACAAAAATGTGTGGCATTTCTAGGGCTGCACGATTAATCGAATGCGATTGTCATGCGCATTTTGATAGTAATGCCGGTTCTGTAATCAGCAGGAAATCATCATCACGTGCTTTCAGATGGAGCAGAATTTACTACACATAGCCGTAGTTCACTGACAAGTTACGCAAAAAAATCGCAGACGATTTTATTGCACGATTCTGAAATCG